GTTATAAAACAAAATACTTTTAGGTTCTTGTTGTTGTTGGTGGATTTTTGTTGTGTGTTTTCTTTTAGATTTCTGTTAATACTCTGTTTTGTTTTTGTGTTTCTGTTTTGTTTTAGGTTCTTGTGTTGTTGTGTGTTTTGTTTTATCTTGGTAGAGAGAAGATGACTAAGTTAGATTTGACCAGAGCCGAGCTAGCTCTTGTAGTTCTGTACTTGAACAAAGCTGAGGCTAGAGATAAGATATGCAGAGCTATACAGTATGGTTCCAAGTTCGTGAGCGGTGGGCCGCTCAAGGACTACTTTAGTGATCTGCTTGACTATGTTCTTTGCTGTTTCAGTTGTTTTTATGCTCTGCGTTGAGAAAAAAGGACTCACCAATTCTTTACCTATTTTCTCAGCTCTTATTGACTCAAATATCTTGTCGCATGAGAGATACTGGCAACAAATGGGTGTATGAGAGATACTGGCAACAAATGGGTCATATGACAACAATGGTGATACCTTGATGGCAATATCTCAGCTATTTTCAGATAACAACAATGAGTTTTGTTGGTTTCTTGAACCAGAGCTTGCCAAAGAGATTGTAAGGGTGTATAAAGTTGTTGGAAACGCTGTAACACAAGACCGTGGTATCAGGCTGCTCTTTATGCTCTCTCCCCACATGATGACTCTGGACCCATTAATGTCGTCTCAGCTTCGCCTTATTATTGTGTAAGTCAAATTTAGAGTTTTCTTTATATCCTTGAGCATGCAATTCACTCTAACGTGTGTAACTGGTTTGATGTGCAGTTTGTCAATGACTTTCACGCTCTTATTAGTCATGTGCCTAAAGGAACTCCACTTCCCCTTGTCTTACTCGGAAAGGTGATAAAAGAAATATAGAATCTATTAAAACAGTTGTTCATTCCATCTTGTTTTGTCCTGTCTTTTAACTTTATGTTTTTTGTTTGTTTGGTTGCTTGTTTTAGTCTAAGAATGCGCTCTTTTCTACCTTCTTGTTTCTTGATCAAATCGTTTGACTTGGTAGATCCGGCATATACAAAGTGAGATAGGTTTTAAGACAACAATCATATTTCTTATAAAATTCGTAAAGTCTAGATTCAGTGACTAAAGACCCTTATTCAATCACATGGCAGAACAAAGAAACAACTGAGCTGCTTGGACGTATATCACTTTTCTGCTAGCTGGGATCATATGTTCGTACAACAGCAGTGGAGGTCTATGTCTACTCTTTCTATACACTTTGATTTGTTTGTGTGTTAGCATATATACTGATCTTGATTCTCCATACAATAAATAGAATTTTAATTTTCCAAGTTTTAAAATTTCTTATTTTAATTCTTAAGGACTATAAATTGGAAAACACCATTGGATATACTATTAAGATTACAATCCTTAACTATTAAAAAAAAAATTAATAATGGTTAAAGACTCCAATGGTGATAACACCATTGGAGTTGCTCTAAGTTTAAAAGTAATTTTCTCATCATACTTTTCGGTGTTGTTTTCAAATTAACACAAATATTAAATGCAACAAAAAAAAGAACATAAAACAGTTGCTTATGTACTAAAATTAGACATGGAGCAATCAAATCTCTAGCTCCCAAGTTCTATCTCACATTTGCCTATCTCTGGTGAAGAAAATTTTGTAAACAGGATAACAAAATAACCAATCCTAACCTCTAGAAAATACCCAGAAAATTCTCATCTTGATGGTCTTGAACTCCATATAATGACACTATCATAGGAGAGGTAGGACTTGCTTTTGAATCAATCGTCGTCCTGTATTGTGCTTTAGTGTATGGAGGAAAAATCAATTTCTATATAAGCAGTTTCTTTAGGCAGCTGGTGTAATGCAAAGCTGACTATGTCCTGGACTGTGCTCCAATGGGTACATAGTCGTGCTTCTCACAAATTTTTGATGGTCCCTCGCAGGTTTTCTTAGGTGTGAGACCATTGGATGCTTGTTTTTGCTTCTCTTCTTTACTATTGAGCATGAAGCTAATGGGTCTGCAGATCCTGCTCCAACTCTCCTGCACGTTGAATAGGTTTTTCACAGTGATGAAAAGTTCGTGACTTGTGAGGCAGATTATGTGCGCAAAAGAAAGAAATGAAATCGAATACCTTAAGAGCTTCTCTGCTGCAATTCTTGCAGATCTAACTGTTTTTCGACTTGGCAGCCATTTTACGACTCGGTTTGGATCAGCTCTCATGGGAGAGTGTATTTTAATGAGCTATGAACAAACACAAAGAAGAGAACCAATTCAAAACCAAAAAGCTTGAAGTGATCTTTGAATTTATAATAGGCGAATGCAATCTAACAAACGAATCAAGTGAATATTACCATCTGCCACAGATAAAATGTACCAACTTGTATTGGTTAACTGGAAAAGGAAGAAAAACCAGAGACTTACACCCAAGCATTCCATCATCTGGTAGTAGGCCCTACCATGCAAAGGAGTATGTCCTTGTCGCGATTCTGAAAAATATCTAGTCCTGACATATTATAACAAGAGATTATTTCAAACACAATCATAATAAGTTGACATCTAGACAAAATAATTATAGGTAGAATTCATACCACTCTTTATAACCCGGGTCCACAGTGAAACCATACATATCCACTGAATCACAAGTCGAGAGAGCAAATTCAAGAGCCTTGAGCCCAGTTCCTTTGGCTGCTGAGCCAAATGAAGCACCAAGCATTAAGTACACCGGATTTTTTATTGGAACCTCCTGAAGAGAAAGAAGAATTCTCAAATGAGTTTCAAAGACGAGGAATAACTTTTCCAGATATCCAAAAGAAAAGAGATAAGAGACAAATAAGGGCAATGTACTAACCCGAATCATCTTGTTCATAATATCATGAATTGTTGTTTTAACTAGTAGTACCTCTTGCTTTTTTTCTGCATAGTTTCAAAGGATCAGAGAGTGTATCATAATAATAATAACACACACGATAAATAAATAAAATAAAGAAACAATGGCGATAACCATGAGAAAGGGAAAACAAGGAACAGTTACACACCATCCAACTCCACGACTTTGTCAAGGGCTTTTGCTGACCCTCGATTAAGAAGACGGAATGTACTTTTCTCTCCCACGTATTCCTTGTAGTTCTGCAAGATGAAGATGAGAAAAAAAAAAGAGGGAACAAATGAGCTGGAGGTTAGATAGCAAATGAGATAAGAGGGGAACAAAAAGTCGATATCCCAGAGAAAATGATAATGAGACAACAGAGGGAACAAAGGAACTGGAAGTTAAATAAAAAAAACTCATCATTAACCTGAATTGGAGCACCATTTTCTCTAATAACCGCATCGTAAGTATCTATCTCCTTTCCAAATTTTGTTTTCAAGAGATCACCAGAGTTACCGATAACAGCACATCGCTCAAACTGGCGAGGAAAATAAGGAGGTGTTTCAGGTAGCACCAATGCAAGCTTCTCGACGCATAGAGATTTATTCTGGCAACGATTACTGCACCAAAGTGTGAGTTTTAACAAGACCAAAACACGAAGAAGACAGAGCGCATTTTACGCTAATTTTACTACTTCATATATATTGTGACTGAGACGCATCAGTTTTAGCAAGTTTTGAGCTGTTGTCTATGAAACCGGAACTATAACAATAACATTTTTTTATGCACTTAATCCTCGTCTTCTCAGTCAAATACTTACAGTTGTATTCCTTTATTGATTCTGCGCCATGCATAATCCTCCCATCCATTTGGTAAGGCATCAATATATTCCCTAGTGAGTATCGTAGAACTATTCCTGACCTGGTCAACAAACTCGCTAATTAACCCATCATTGTATTACATGAACTGAAAGCTTACACGGATTTTAAGAAATGAATCACCCACTTGTTCCCATGTAGCTACTGCTTCGCACAAGTCAAACTCATAAGACAGTCCTTCAAGCTCTCCAGACTTAGGATCTTTCTGTTATTGTTGGATATAATGCAAGGTAGAATACAAATATTCAATACAACATTTGGCTAAAAAACACCAGACAAGAACAACTGTGCCAATGTATAAAGTCAAGTAGGGCCAGAGTGAGATCAATAAAATAGTGGGAAGAGAGCATTTACCCATTTAGGTATAGTATCCTTGGGGAAGTTTACTGAGACTTTACAGTAATCACTACCAGTAGCAGCTTGTAGTCCCAAGCCATTTGCACTCTAACATCATATTAAACAATTTATTTTAGTCACACATGATTTTTCAACTAAGTCTTATAAAAAAGTAACATAATATTTTGAATCACAAAAGATTGGATCAATATGCCTCAGTTTTTACTCAGATTCCAAATGAAATTGATTTTAAGTCATTTCAGTGACAGTCCACTAGATTGGATCAATGCTAATCAACAGGTGTCCAGATTCACAAGTAAAGATTGAACTCCCAACGCGAAATTACTTACAACGCACTTCTGGAATCCGCTCTGGAGGGACAGCAACGCCTCTAAATCTTCATTGCTAAGCCGATTCGATTCGTCTAAACCCACGGAATCATCTTCTTCATCAATAATCATCGCCTTGCTTGAGAAAATCACGATATACACTGTGACGAACGATGGGAGTGTACATATATATATAACTTACAGAGATTTGAGACGCCGATGATGTAGATGAGAACAGCGGATATTCCAGTTGTTAAAGCTAATAAGAATATCAACTGCAAGAGCTTCATCGATTTCCCTCCCCAAGCTTCCGCTTCGATATTTTTCAGGAGTCGATGATGTGATCTTCCAAACTAAAATTACGGGAGAGTTCCGATCTGCGAGTCCTCGGAGTATGAATATGCAAAGAACAACGTGTAGTTATTCTTATCAAGTTCAAGACGGCAAACTGTTTTCTTACGATATAAATGCTGCGTTGTTAATCAAAGATTCAGTATTTCACAAAGTGAGTGTCCAGATATAGGATACGAAGGTGGGCATCTATCTTAGTATAATAGAAACACTAGGATAAGACTTGCACCTTGGGCAAAGTTAATGTATGTAATTAAAATATAAAATTTTCGTATTACTAAACTTAAAATTTACATATGATTGTTTTTATATGTATTTGAAATTTAAGAATTTTGAAATTTTTATATAATTATCTATACGTAGGATCAGAAACAATTGTAATTAGAAATGTAGATCAAACCTAAGAATTTAATGAATCCGATTTCATATATCTTTTCACTTTTTAGTGTTCGAGTGATGAAAAATAAACGGAGTGTTACTGGGCTTGATTGGTAGAGTATTAGCAAGTTCCCTAATGCTTTCTTAAGAAGCAGTTGGTAAAATATTTGCATTTAAAATATATAAAATTTCAAACTAATTTAATATAATTTATTTATTTGTCTTATAATATTAGAAAATTATAACTTTATAAATTATGTAAAAATAATAATAATTTTATAAAAAATTAAGTTAAATTTTAAATTATTTTGAAAAACAATATTATAAGTTTTTCAAATACAATTAAACATTTCAAAATTAATTATGGTCATTATTTAACATAACCATAATGACTAAAAATTTAAAAATTTAAAAATTAACTCAGTTTTATATCATGATTTAACAATTTAAAAATTAATTACGGTTATGAGAAGTTTACTTTTACGTGTCAATCCTATTTATCTTCATTTTTTTCTATTGATGTGTTTTTCTTATTTTGGTTATTACTCGATATAAATATTTATTTTGAAGTTTATTCTCATTTTCTTTGTTTGTTTTGACCTGTGATTTAGAAAATACTTAAGATTTAAAATAATTAAAGAGATACATACTTAGGTTAAGATTTGCACTTTATCCACGATAAATACTTTATATTTATTATTTATTTTATATTTTTCTGCATATTATAAAATAAAAAATATATATACTAAATAACTAAGAAATCAGTTACTATTATGTAATAAATTGATGTATGCATATAAATTTAACTATTACTCTTGTTTATTCGCAATTAGGGTAAATAAATAAAAATAATCAATCTTATATATTGTATATGATATATAATTAAATTTAAATGATATAAACATATTAATATAGCACAATTTTAATATGGATATTTATTAAATGAGGTTTCTACTTATATGATTTTATGATTATTTACATATTTGTGTAACAAAACTTTACACCAACGAATTTTTTTTTTAATGTGAGATGTTTAGTTTTTTCAATAATTTATAATCATTTTAAAAAAACAATGACATATTTCAAAATTAAAATATTAAATTTTCAATATATGTTCAATGCAAATATCAAAAATATAAGTATGTATTTTCATACGATGTATAGTATAATTTAAACGATATGAAACATATTTTTCATACGATGTATAGTTTAATTTAAACGATATGATATCAACCTTCAAAAACTGGATTGTATTGGTAAGTTTTCTTGACTTCTATTTTTAATTTAATAGTAGTATGACGTAAATCTCTATAATATTATTTGAGAAGTCAGTTTCCTACGTGTCGCGCTCACATTAACTCTCACGATGGTTGATTACATAGATACCCTTAATGAACTAAAAATATTAAATAAGATTGATATTAATAATGTATTTCCTTTTTTCATAATTAGATTTTACTTAATTTTTCATTTAAATTTACTTTTTTAAAACACGTAAATAAAAGGAAATATTTATAAAATATAAATATTTATATATAAATGAAATTTAATATTTGTTTTCGAAATTTTCCTAAAACAACATAGTTAGTGTTTATTTAAGAGATATTAAAAAGGAAACTAAAAATATATTTTTACAAAAATAAATATTTTGATCAAATAATTTCAAAATCCTTTTAAATAGCGTAACACTATACACTATAACTGAAATATAAATATTATATTTTATCATTATTAAAAAAAAATATTTAGTTTGATTTTTAATTTTATAGTTTTTTATGTTCGTGGAACTTAATATATACATAGTAAAAATACTCAAGTAAATCTCAGTTCTCATTTTTAAGATTGTTTAAAATACGTTTCAGTTTACCTTTCAAGAAATCTAAGACATCAAATAATTTGGAATTTATAAATATTTAATTATTGTAAATATTAATATGTGTTTATGAAATTTCAAAATTTTATCTTTATACTCATATTTATGTATGTAAATTCCTATTTATCTTCACTAAATTTTTTATATTTCTTAAAAATCAACATATATCCCATTATTAAAAATATTATAAAAATACATGCAATAAGCGATAAATAAAACTAATTTAATTTGATTTAATTGGAATAAAAATAATAATTATATTTTCATTTGAATTAGAAAAATATACATAACTCAATATACTCACAAAACGAGTAACAGAACGAGTCTAACTTATATCCAAACTAAAAGATCTAACTACAACAAGAACATATAATTTTAGAATAATTATTTATTGATGACAAAAAAAGAATAATTATTGTTTATTTTTATACATATAAATTACATGACGACTCAAAAATATCAATAAAAGTAAATTGTTAACCAACTATTATAATTCATTTTTTTTGTAAAATTTATATATATGAATGAGACTTCAGAATATTATCTTTATATTCATTTATGTAATTTTGAGTCAAAATTTCAGTTTATTTTTAATTTCATTATAATCACAATATATATTAAGTTATATATAATCCTACTAAAATATATTTACATATATAAGACGATAACCAATCTTAATGAAATAATAATCAAAGTTTTAGTATATTTAGAAGAAATATATTATAGTTGAATTCAAAAAAAAACATAGATGCAATCTAAAATACACAAGTGTAACCAAATCCACTATTGACCCAAAAAAAAACCAAACCGATTAAATATAATATAATATTATTAATGTAAGTTATACATATAAATTATAAATTAATTTATAATTAAAAGTAAATATCCATGTAAATTAATAAATTAGAATGTATTACAATATATTTACTTAATAAATATTCATACCCGTGCATGAGCACGGGAAAATCACCTAGTGACAAATAAACAAGAACCAATGTTTATTTATTAAATATTTATATTTTTATATAATATATATTTTACATTTAAATATTTTTTTATAGAACATGTCATTCAAAAAGTTGGTGCAAAATCAACTAACGAGATATCTCCTCTCATAATTTTATGTATTTAATACTTAATTTTTATAGTGAAATCTTCTAGGTAAGATTTTTAATTTTGACCTCACATTATTAATGTAATATTATATGTCTAATTATTCTAATTATGATAGATGTGATATTTCGCGGGTATTTATTCTTTAGGAAGTTACTGATATTTTGGTATTTTATAATTAAAAGAAGATAATTATACTTCACGTTTAGGAAGTTAGTCATATATCCACATTCAGCTATTAAATAACATTTAATTTAGATATATACCTTCTTATTCTTTAGAAAAATTCCCAGTATATGTGTTTTTTATTAAAACAGAAAATCTTGGTTACAATTAAAACTTTTGATTTGTTATTAATTATAAAGAACAGTTAATTTTTAACAAATAATTCTTATGTTTACTTCAAAAAAATTATAAATAAGAAACAAAATGAATTTACTTTGATACAAGAAAAATATTTACTTAAACTAAAATTTAATTAATATATATAACATTTAGTTATATTGTTACAAATTATTCTTGATGTTTTTATAGTGAAAACTTTTGTGGGTTATTCTATGAGGCGTACAAAATAATTATCAAATAAAAAATAAATTGAAAAATATATTTGATCCTTTTTATTATAACATATTAACATAAACATTAATCAAAATGAAACAAATTAAAAAGATTAATTATACCTAATTTCAATTTTAAATCTTTTAAAATAAACATAACCAGTTATACTATTTTGATTTTCATATGAACATAATTATTCTAATTTTGGATTTCATATCAGCTACCCATCGCCTTAAACGGTTAGTTTCAGATTCTAGCGATTTTTGTAGATTTTAAAAACTTTGAAATAATAAATTCATTAAAATAAAACCGGGATATAAAGAATCACCGGGTTTACCAGTTTGTCCGCGGTTCAAATCGAGATTAAAAACAATGATTTGAATGTAAAATGTTTTCAATAGTCAAAATTCTTATAGATTAATAAAACATTTATAACATTCTTAAGTGCGGCTTAAAATCATTGACATTAAATCAAAATTAAATTTATTTATTTTACATAAAAAATATATACAATATACATCTATAAATATAATTATATTTCAAATATTATAAAAATGTATAGTGGATCTGGATCTGGATATCCAGACTTAAATTTCACTACCCGGATCCCTAAAATCACTATATGATCTGGACCCTCAGATATCCGTTTATTCGGATGTATATAATATATCTAATGATCCAGATGGTACATATATAATATATCTATATGATCCGGATGGTACATATATAATATATTTATATCTATATGGAAAACAAATAACATTATAACTTTTTATAACTTTGTAAAAAATAAAACCCGCCGGCGCATATCAAAATCTAGTTCCATTTAAACTTGACAAGCAGAACAACAAGTTGTAGGGAATACAATGTTGGTTATATTGCAAGGTAAGAGGCAAAATAAGATTAACAATTGGGAGTTTTATTTCCCTTTTATTGCTTTAACATGACGGCCTTGCGAGGAATGTCTTTGTAACCTTATGCACTTACAGCTGGAGCAAGCGCAGTAGCTGGGGAATTGAAGCACCACCAGTGGTTGGCCTAAGAACATGAGAAAATTACAAGTTTGTATATGTTTTTTCTTAAATGATTCGGAGTACTGATGAGAATATATCTAAAGTGAAGGGGAGGAATACTTACAATCCAGCTAAAACTTTGACAGCATCATAGATAACCCATTGAGCTCCAGTGAGTGTTCCTATCATGAAAATGCGAAGAGGAAGTCCACGAGTAAACATACCCAATAACCCTAGCCTCTTTACTGCCTGTAGCACATCAAATAATCAAAACCAAGTCAGAGAACAGAACATGTGTATCGAACAGCTCTCTGATTTTCATGTAGTTTCACTTACATCACTAACAGTTGCTCCTTTAGAGTTATTAAGGAAAGAGACCAAGTTATCTGCAGGATGTGAGATAACTGCGCAGAAAATTCCAGCAATGTATCCACCGGCAAAGCTAACACCAAGCTGAACTGGCTCCGAGCACTCTTCCTTTGGGGTTGGAATCACTTTCTTATATATGAGCTCCACAGTGTTTTCAAAAGTAGCAAATTTCATCATGGTATCTGCGAAAACCTTAAAAATTTTACCAATGATACTTTTATCTTTTGAAGAAGCGGTTCTAGGTGCATCTTAGTGAAACATTGGCTTTGACCCGCAGAATCTCAGAGCCGAATTTATTCGCGGACACAAGATTTTCTTTAGTATTGGGACTTACATGGAATCTGGCGTCCCCATAGAGGAACAAGTCCTTTGAACAATCCCCGAGCACCTTCTGATCTAAGGATCTTTGGTAGACCATCAGATAATCCGCGGGCAAAACCAGGCTGAGTCTGGACCCTGACTTTGACAGCTTCCATTGGACAGAGAGCCACATCTGCTACAATCTCCGCAGACGCCGAGCCAGCAAGGTAGATGAGAGTCTTATATTTGGCTGCGTTTTCTGGACCAACGATGTCTGAGTAGTATTTCTTGGCGTACTCATATAAACCGTATTTAAACGCTCCCTGGGCACTGTACCCAATAAGAGTTGGTGACCAGCCTCTGGTGAAACCCTTGAGCCCCTGCTCTTTGATTGTTGTCTTGAAAGCAGAAGTTATGTTCTTGTACTTCGATGGATCAATCTGAAATATTAAACAAACTATTTTATCTTTTTGTAAATTCATGGAGGCTTATTGTAAATATTACTGAAAGACCTGATCTTATTCATGTGTTTACAAGCGTATGTATAATACAATGCTAACCGACTTAGGATCTTTAGGATATATCCTACTAATTACATCATTATCTTAACTTAAATATAACTAACTCTTGTTATTATCCTCCAATACTCCCCCTCAAGTTGGGAATATGAAAGTTTCTTACTCCCAACTTGAACAATAATGCTTCAAACTGATCTCTCCCAAGTGCTTTTGTGAGCACATCCGCCACTTGATCAGTCGTCCGTACATATACCGTCTCTAACGTGCCATCCATAATTGCATCTCTAACCTGATGGCAATCCGATTCTATATGTTTCGTTCTCTCATGAAACACAGGATTAGCAGCTATGTAAATTGCTGACTTGCTATCACAAAACATTTTCGACGGTTGATGCTGTTTGACTCCCAAATCAGCAAGTAACCTCCGGAGCCACTTCACTTCTCTTGTAGCCTGTGCCATGGATCGATACTCAGCCTCAGCCGAAGAATGAGACACCACGCTTTGCTTCTTTGTCTTCCATGACACCGGCGAATCCCCTACTAATGTAACATAAGCACTCAATGATCTCCTCGTCAAAGGACATGCGGACCAGTCCGCATCACAGTACACTGACAACCGCAAATCACTCATAGAACTCAACATAATTCCTTGTCCAGCGGTTCCTTTGAGATATCTAACTACTCGTAGAGCCGCGTCCCATTGTCCTTCTCTTGGTGTCTTCATGAACTGTGACAATATGTGCACAGGATATGATATGTCTGGTCGGGTAATGGACAAATAAATTAAGCGCCCTACCAATCTTCTATATTTCTCTCTGTCACTCAAGAATGGACTTGTATCAAGTCCCAACTTATGTTGTTGCTCCATAGGTGTAGCAGCTGGCTTGGCTCCAAGCAAACCAACATCCGATATTAAATCCAACGCGTACTTTCTCTGCGTCAACATAAAACCTTCTTCACCACGACCCACTTCAATTCCTAGAAAATACTTTAGTTTTCCTAAGTCTTTCATGCGGAAGCAATCACTCAAGTATTCTTTAAACTTAGTCACAACCTTCATGTCATTCCCACACACAAGTAAATCATCGACGTATATGAGTACCCTTAGCTCGATTCCTTTTCTTGAATAGACAAACAACGAATAATCAGCATACGAATGTTTAAAACCATACTTCTTGAGCGCGTCAGTAAGCTTTGAGAACCAACATCTCGGAGCTTGACGCAAACCATACACCGCCTTATGTAATTTACACACCTTGTTAGGATCAGACGTCTTAAAACCTTGAGGCAGTTTCATGTACACCTCCTCTTTAAGATCTCCATGCAAGAAAGCATTGTGAACATCCATTTGATGCACAATCCACCCTTTTCCTGCCACTACACGTAGTAAGCTTCTCACAGTCGTCATCTTAGCTACTGGTGCAAATGTCTCCTTAAAATCTCTGTCTTTCACTTGCCTATTTCCCAACGCCACCAGACGTGATTTAGGTCTCTCCAAGGTGCCATCAGCATTATACTTATACTTGTACACCCACATATTGCCAATCACTCTCTTCCCGCGTGGTAGATCAACCACACTGAATGTTCCATTTTCTTCGAAAGCAGCAATCTCTTTTTGCATAGAATCTCGCCATATTTTATGTTGTACTGCTTCTTTGTAACTCCTTGGTTCTTTCCCATTAGTTATTGCTGCCAAAAACGCCTTATGATCTGAAGAAAAACAATCATCAGATATGTAGCTCTCAAGTGGATATGGTGTTTTACCTGGAACCGTCCACGATGACTCTGATTGGGTTGCAGGAGTAGTGAGTGTGCGATGGGGTTCTTCTCTCAAGTTTTGCGCATTATAGGTCACGTAATCATGCAGTTTAACAGAGGGAAACTTTTGTCTGCACCCTCTTCCCATCTCAGACTCTGCTGTGTCATCTTTCTCAGCCGTATCAACTTGATCTGAGCTCTGTTTTTCTGCAGTAGTCGACTCTGGTTCAACCACACCAGCCGGTACTTCTACTGCTGTTTCTTTACTACTATTCGCAGGAGATATACTCCCCCTGTTTCCTACTACCATATTAATTATCCAGTCATCATCGGGGCCTCCAGTTAACTCTGTTGTTTCTGCTACACCGGTCTGAATTTGGCTAAATGGGAACACATCTTCCGTAAAACTCACATCCCTTGACACCAAAAACTCGTTACTCTCTATGTCATATACCCTCCATGCCTTTTTTTCCAAACGGGTATCCCACAAACACACATTTCCTACTTCTTTCACCAAGTTTATCTTTATTTCGATCTCTCCGATGTACATAGCATAAAGACCCAAATACTCTCAAAGTCTCGTACGCTGGTCTTGTTCCAAACAGTTTCTCATAAGGTGAGCTTCCATTTAACACCTTAGAAGGTGTCATATTAATAACGTGTGTAGCAGTAGTGATGGCTTCTCCCCAAAACTTAACTGGCATTTGAGCTTGAAACAACAAAGCTCTCGCCACATTCAAGATGTGTCTATGTTTCCTCTCCACACGCCCATTTTGTTGAGGTGTATTGACACAGCTTGTTTGATGTATGATACCTTTATCTTGAAAGAACTCTCTCAAGCACATGAATTCTGTTCCATTGTCACTCCTCACTTTCTCAACCACCAGTTTAAATTGAGTCTCAGCATAAGCACAAAAGCGTTCAAGAACTTTCTTAACCTCTGATTTGGCAAGTAGCAAATAAGTCCAAACAGCTCTTGAAAAATCATCAACAATTGTTAGAAAGTAAACAGCTCCACAAGATGCTGGAACTTTGTAAGGGCCCCATACGTCAACATGAATCAATTCAAAACACCTCTTTGTTTTATTAATACTATCACTGAAAACATCTCTTGTTTGCTTTGCTCTAAAACACACGTCACACGGACTAGAACAAGCTTTA